TTCCCCTTTCTTGAGATATGGATTGTCTCCTGACCTTGTGACTAACATTACCCCTTGTTCCCTTGGTAACAGTTGCTGTACATTTGGTTTTCTGATCTCTATCATTCCCGAAAGAAGTTTCTTGTACCACAGCCTATATATACTCATAGAAAAATGATTAAAGCACCTTTGCTCCATCAGAGCTTAGGTCCCCGGGTCTTTTTTTTGTCTCTCTCTCTTTCTCTCTTTTACTTTCTTATCATCGACTCCATACCACCAGGTTCCAGTCCATTAAAGGACCCCAACAACCTACTTACTCGAAATCTGAGGAAAAACAGGCACGTCCAAGAAGAGACAAGATGCCAGCATTTTCTTACTTAGGGTAAATGCCAGACATTGTACAAGTTGGCAAGAATAATTCAGCTTAAAAGTGAAATGGAAGCTAAAAGCTGAATGTGAGCCAGTGTGAAAGTACAGAATCCCCAGAAACCACATACAGGAGAATTTTCACCTACTCAAAGGTCTTCTATTCACATTTTCATTTATTCATATATCTTACCAGGTGTGCACAAGAAAGACTTTAGTCAGAACAGAGATCACAGACTTAGCAACTAAACAACAATATGGTATAGAACTTGGACAGGAAAATAGCAGCAGTGCAAGAAAGGCACAAAATTCTGTTCAGACCCTTTTATCCTGTCCTCCCTCCAAGCAAAATAATTCTGCACTGGTTGATCCAAAAACTAAGAGACACACAAGCAAGCAAGGGAAAATCCCACACACAAACAAATCAAAAGAAAAAGATTCATATGTGATACTGATGTTGGAATTAACAGACAGAATTTAAAATAAGTCTGATAAACAGGATAAAGTCTCTAGTGGAAAAGATAAGAAATCGCATTGCCAGATAAGGAATGTCATCAGAAAAATAAAAAGTAGAAGAAGGAATCAAGTGGAAATGCTAGGAATTTTTAAAAATGCTAGAATTAAACATGTTTAATGAATGTGAAAGAGGAGAGTGAAAAAGTTGGCTTAAAGCTCAACATTCAGAAAACTAAGATCATGCCATCTGGTCCCATCACCTCATGGGAAATAGATGGGGAGACAGTGGAAACAGTGTCAGACTTTATTTTTCTGGGCTCCAAAATCACTGCAGATGGCGATTGTGGCTGAACTGAACTGAACTGAATGCCAGTAACAGAGATGGAGAATGCCTTCTGAAGACTCATCAGTAGACTTGACACAAATGATGGAAAGAACCAATGAACATGAAGATAAAGCAATAGAAATTACACAAACTGAAAAACAAAGGTACAGAAGAATGAAAAATTAAAACAAGAGCATGCACAAGCTGTGGGACAACATCACATCTCTAATATATGTGTAACTTGGATACCAAAAGAGGGAAGAGCAGAACTGAAGAAATATTGAAAAGGTAATGGCCGGGACTGTCCCTTAAATAGAAGGAAACTCTTGACGGCAGCCAGAGACAAAAGAAAGTTCCTAAAGGAACAAACACAGAAATAACAGCAGACTTCTCATCGGAAACTATGCAAGCTAGAAGACAATGGGGTGTCATCTGTAAAAATGCTTAAAACAGAAAGTTGTCCCAGAGTTCTATACAGGGAAAATATTCTCCAAAAATGAAAAGAGAATTTTATTTTCAGAAAAACAAAAAATAAGAGTAATCACTACCATCAGACATATAAGAAATGTTAAAGGAAGTTCTTCAGTCAGGATGAAAACAGAAAGAAANTGTCCCAGAGTTCTATACAGGGAAAATATTCTCCAAAAATGAAAAGAGAATTTTTTTTCAGAAAAACAAAAAATAAGAGTAATCACTACCATCAGACATATAAGAAATGTTAAAGGAAGTTCTTCAGTCAGGATGAAAACAGAAAGAAACTTAAATTTCTTCTTGATAAAGATCAGTAGAAATGCAAAAATGACTGTAAGCATGTAATTCACATTTTTATTATTTTTAATTGCTCTAAAAGATTATTTGAAGGTAGGAGGAATAATTTAAGATGTATATTGAAAACCCTAAAGAGATCACTAAATTTTTCTGAAGAGTTAATAAATAAAAAGCTGTGATAGGTACACTTCTAAGATGGTCACTAATGATCTCCACTCTGGCATTCACCTCCTCAGGTAATTGCTTCCTCCTGAATACAGGAGAAACATAGAGACTTGCTTCAAACTACTGTAACTTTTAAAAAGTGATGAAATATCACTTCTGACAGGCTATAAAAGACTATGATTTCCACATTGCTAGCAATACTTTCTGGAGAAGGCAATGGCACCCCACTCCACTACTCTTGCCTGGAAAATCCCATGGATGGAGGAGCCTGGTGGGCTGTGGTCCATGGGGTCGCTAAGAGTCGGACACGACTGAGCGACTTCACTTTCACTTTTCACTTTCATGCACTGGAGAAGGAAATGGCAACCCACTCCAGTACTCTTGCCTGGAGAATCCCAGGGATGGAGGACCTTGGTGGGCTGCCGTCTCTGGGGTCGCACAGAGTCGGACACGACTGATGTGACTTAGCAGCAGCAGCAGCAGCAATACTTTCACTATTTTGAAGAGGCCCACATTACAAGGAATTGAGGGTGGGACAAGAAGGGGACAACAGAGGATAAGATGGTTGGATGGCATTATCAACTCAATGGACATAGTTTGAGCAAACTCTAGGAGACAGTGAAGGACAGGGAAGGCTGGTGTGCTGCAGTCCACGTGGTTTCAAAGATTTGGATATAACTGAGTGACTGAACAACAACAATAAGCTAATAACTAAAAAGGAACCAAATGCTGCCAATAACCAATGAGTGAACTTGGAAGTAGATCTTTCCCCAGTCGAGCCTTCAGATAAGACCACAGATGCTGAGCTGATACTTAGAGGCCTTGAAAGAGACCATGAAACAGAGTATTCAGTTCAGCTGTGGCTGTATTCCTGACTTATAGAAATTGTAAGATAATAAATGTGTTTTTAAGCCACGAAATTTGGGGATAATTTGCTGTAAAGCAATGGACAACTAATATGTAAGCCAATAGTTGAAATAAAATGGAATAATAAAAAAAACTCCCAATCTAAAAGAAAACAGAGAATCAAAAGAGACCAAATCACAAAAAATAGCTACTTAGGTGGTAGACTTTAATCCAATAACATCAATAATTGTACTTATTCTAAATGGCCTAAACATACCAATTAAAAGCTAAAATTTAAAAACAGTTATAAGCTTTCTACCCAAACCATACTTTAAATATAACATGGACACATTGAAGGTAATAGCATGGAGAAAGACACACCATTCAGTGACAAGCAAAAGCAGACTGATGTGGCTGTGTTAACATCAAACCAGACTTCAGAGCAAGAAGCATTACCAGGAGTAGAGATACTACCTAATAACAGAGTTATCAACTGACCTTTATCACAGGTCATTACAGTTCTAAACATGTATTCACCTTACATTATATGAGAATAGCATTACTGTGATACCAAAACCAGACAAAACATTGCAGTAAGAGAAAACTATAGATCAACACCCATCATGAATATAAAGGCAAAAATTCTCAACAGAATAATAGCAAGTCAATTCTAATAACATACAGAAAAGGATATCACATCATACCCAAGCAGAGTTTATCTCAGAAATGCAAGGCTTGTTCAACATTTGAAAATAAATCAATAGAATTCACATTATAGTTGTATGCACTTCTCTCAAGCCCCCAACTCTCCCTTAATCTCTGGAAACCACTCATCTATTGTCCATTTCTATAATTTTCCCATTTCAGGAATGCTATATAAATAGAATACAGTATATAACCTTTTGGGACTTTTCGCTTGGCATAATTCTCTGGAGATTCATCAGATTGTAAGTATCAATAGTTTGTTTCTTTGCATTGCTGAGTAGTATTCCACACTTGTTTAGTTATTCATCTGCTGAAGGATATCTGGATTGTTTTCAATTTGGGGCTATTACAAAGCAAGCTGCTTTGATTATTCATGTACATTTTTCTAATTTGATGAAATCAAACTTACTTGCTTTGAATTCTTTGCTTAATCCTCTGTCATGAAGATTTTCTTCTATATTTTCTTCTAAACATTTTATGGTTTTACATTTTACATTTAGATCTATGATCCATTTTGAGTTATCCTTTTTTCTTATTGCTTCATTATTTTATTCACTGGATCATTTTACCTGGAGTATCTTTACACCTTAACATGTAATTAACACTTGAAAATAAGCCAATTGTACCAATCTTTATTTTTTTTCAAAATCATAGACCATTGTTAAAATTTGATGACACTGCTCCAAATGAGATGGTCAGAGCCTTGCCTGCACCCCAGGAATCCATATATTCTCACCACGAGTCACTTCTATAATAAATGAATGATTGGGTGTGCTGTTTTCAACTCTGCTCTTTTCCCTTTCCAGTATCTTTCATGGCCACTCTGGAGGAGGACTGCCATGCTACCACCACATATACTGGCTTGCATTCATGATCAAACCAATGCATCCAAAAACGAGAGCTCAGACTTTTCCTGCTCTTCCAGCTGGTTGTACTTTATGAGACTGCCCATGTGACCATGAGCTGCAAGGCAGGGAGTGGAGCTAATGCAAATGATGCAGGTGACCTACTTGCTCACGTGCCTTGTGCTCTCCAGTCCTGCTTAGTCTTCCTTCCCAGATGTGGTATTTCCATCTGATGATAGTGTGCTGCAGGTATTCTGATTTTTTTGACTAGGTAGGTTCAACAGAATTCTTTTCATAAAGTGAAGTTTCAGATTCAGTCTTTGGTGCTTCATTACCATGCAGTATCTCTCTTCCAGAACCCCGAAACATGTTGGAGCTATTTCTCAAAAGGTATTTTATTTCATTCTGTAGATATAAATGTATAATTCTATTATAGTTTATATTCCTATGATGGCATGTGTTAAGCTTTTCATAAGCTTCACACTACCTCTCTTCCCACTGAAAGTATCTCTAACACCATAGGGTCTTTCAAAGCTTAGGACCCAAGCAACATGACTGCTTACACCACAGCCTGGACCTACTGCAGAGCTCTTTCCCACACTGGGTCACGAGGTCCTACTCAAAGTTGGCAACCCTTCTACGTCACTTAATACATGGACCAGGTCAACATTCCTAGGTGAAAAATATATTTCCTCTAGAATCAAAGCCTACCACCCATGTGCTTCAATTTCTGTGGCAAAGGATTCAGTATACATTTTAATTTTTTTTTCCCTTTGTTAGGGATATCTTGGCATATTTCTGACCACTGGACCCTAAAAACATCAGTGAAGTTTTCTTCATTGGAATCCTAAAATCTTCACTAAAAATTCAAGAAAGTCTTTGAAACTTTGCAGTTTATTTTACACACTCTGGAGCACAGGTGCATTGTCAAGGTTTTCAGAGTACTAGCCCTGTTTGTTTGACTTGCCTGATCAGCATTATTAATGTTAATGAATCACTGTGATGTTTTGTGGGATGACCAAACAGTCTGGATCCCTTTGTATTATAATATAATGAAAGGCAGGAAAGTTAACATAGCCCTAAGGCAAAACTAAATGAATACTGTCTGCCTTGCATGAATACAACTGTCTCTGACCGTTTCTGATTGGGATGGAAAAAAATTCATTTGATGCATCAATAGCTACATATTGTGTTCCTGCTCCACCAAAGATACTTTTCTAGCACAGCAGCTGCAAAATGGGCTACTATTTGGTTAAGTCTGAGGTAGTTTACAATTATTCTCCAGGATCCATCTAGTTTCTTCAGGGGTAAGACTGGTAAATTTAAGAGGCATGATAGGAATCACTATCCTCGAATCCTTTAGATCTTTAATGGTGGCACTAATCTCCACCACTCTCCCTTCATCCCACAGAATATAATCTTGCTTTTCAAATTTAATATCTTGGCTGGGGAAAGGGGGATGTTCCAGACATATCCACTTGCCGTTCCCCACTATGAGACCCTTACCACAAAGGACAAGTATTTGGTATGGAGATTACTTCAACTACCAGGTATATCAACTGTATACCTGAGGACTATGGAAACCATTGAGTAGTTTTTCAGATTTTAACCAGGATTCCTGGTCCTGAGATGCCCCCACTCTTTGGAGTGGCTTTGAAGATGTTTTGGAGCTCCAGAGTTCAAGTAAACTCAAAACATGTCCAAGAATCCTGAGTATTCATCTTTCCCCATTTACCCAAAAAAGTTCCCCCATGTCTATGAATTCTTTATTAAGTATAGTCTTATGTTTCAGCCCCTTTGATCAGCACCTTCAAAATCCAATCCCTGGGGTATGCTCCTTTCTCATGACACTGCATGCTAACTAACTCTTAGAGCTCCTTCTGTTTGTAATCTCTTCCCTGCCTTATCTGGCCTAGCTCTTTTTCAGTTGGCCTAGTAGCCAGGAGAGGAGGTGAGAGCAGCTCCTGAGGAGGACACACACTGCCTTGAAGAGGAGGGGCTTCTACAACACTTTGAAGTGCAATGAAAGGGTAGACTACCTTACAAACTCCAGGGGTTCAAGGGAATCTGCAGAGCCAACACCTTCTGGGAAACCCATCTAGATAGGGCAATTATATATTCCAGGGCCTCAGATTTCTCCAACCTGGGCCTTGACTTTGTCACAGGTCTGGGAACATCATCCGGATAGTGCCATTACATGTTTCAGGGCCTCAGATTTCTCCAACCTGGGCCCTGACTTTGTCACAGCAGACCTGCCTTAACTATTTATTCATCTATGGAGCTCTGGAATTTTAGCTCTAAGATCCTGTTTGCCACTTAACAAAGTTTGCTCTTCCACTGCAACAGACAAAGACTTTTCAATAAACTACCAGAGAGATGCACTGGTCCTTACATTTATTCTTTAACTGTTTGTTAATGGACATAGAGTTTCTTACGATCCTGTCTGTAGGGTGTTAACACAGCATAGCAGTAACCAGACAACTGAGCTATATTTGAAGCATTACTCGCCCTGTATCTTTCAAACGTTTGGATCAACACACCTGCCAAGACATTTACTTCACTGTGAAGTTTTTCGAAGAGACCTCAGGTGAAATCTTTAAGAACAGGACCATCGCCATGTGCCAGAGACTCTCCATATTGCACACACCATTCAAGGAGTGTTGCCATCTTGATGGTAAGTACACCATCCCAGTGCCCCATCTCACTGCCTACTTTATCAGACCACTCCTGACATCACCACTTCTCAAAAACAGAAACCAAGATGAAATTAGATGTTCAAATACTTACTGAAGAAATGCCTGTGAGGGAAAACTGAGAGAGTGTCAGGGGAGGCTAGGAGAGCCATCCCACCATGGCGAAGGACTGATCTCTGCAGGAGAAAGGGGTAAGGAAAGAGAGTTGGGTAGGAAAAGTCTTAGATTCCCTCTCTCTGCTCTGGTTCTAAGAGACTTTCAGCAAGGCAAATGGGGAGTCTTTAAGGCCCATTTCACAGAAATGTGCCTGCCTTAATATCCCCGCCATGCTTAATGACTGGCTACAAGCAAATAATTGGGAAACAAGGGCCTCATGCAAATGCAGCACTCAATTTGCAATGAAGTTCAGGTAGGCCATCAAGTATGTCCCCCATGGTAGAAAATCTTTGCAGCATATTTACATAGGTGCCATGGATATATGGTCCCTGGCTTAGGAACTTATGATGCTATTCCAGTGGTATACCACTGCCCTTCAAGCGTCCTCTCTGTAACAAAAGGAGCACCAGTGTGCTTCCACCTCCATTTCCACAGGCTTGGCTCCCAAACTCAAATCTCGTCTATCATCACTGTGCATGCTTAGTCGCTCAGCCATGTCCGACTCTTTGCGACCCCATGTACTATAGCCCACCAGGCTCCTCTGTCCATGAGATTTTTCAGGTGAGAACACTCGAGTGGGTCGCCATTTCCTTTCCCAGGGGATCTTCCCAATCCAGGGATCAAACCTGTATCTCCTGCGCTGCAGGCAGATTCTCTACCCACTGAGCCTGAGGGAAGCCCTTACTCCGTGGGTATAGAACAGAGAAACAAACTAAGCTTGTATCCAGCACTAGGCTCATGTGATCTTCCCAACCCAGGGATCGAACCCAGGTCTCCCGCATTGCAGGAGGATTCTTTACCAGCTGAGCCACCAGGGAAGCCCAAGAATACTGGAGTGGGCAGCCTGTCCCTTCTCCAGCAGATCTTCCTGACCCAGGAATTGAACCGGGGCCTCCTGCATTGCAGGCGAATTCTTTACCACCTGAGCTATGAGGGAAGCCATGTCGCATAAATATTGACACACTTCATAAATTAAAACAGACTACTATGTCAAGTAGTATAACTTACATAAATATAAACCTACATTGAAGTGAATCTAACATCTTCATTTACATTCATCATAAAACTTTATGCAACATAAATTGCAGTGTAAACAAGTAATTGTCTCATTTTACAATGATTTAAATAGTATAAACTAAAATTTGAAGCTTTACCCAAGAATTTAGCAGCCAGAACATTTGCCCAGTACACTCCAAAGAAGTTGCATGACCCTCCCTGCTAGGGCACCTTTGGACACTGCATGGCAGGCAGGACCCATTTATTCAGGCAATGTGTCCTTCAACTGGAAGTAGTCGATTTGGTAAAGACGCAACAACCCTAGGCTGGTCTAATCTCATGAAATAGTCAACTTATAACTAACATCATGAATTATCTTACAACCCTTACATCTTGTACCACTTCATGAGAATTCTATATTTTTGTCACTCTATAATGCCATTGTAAGAGAAACGAGGAAGCTCACTCTCTCAGTACACTCAAAAAAATGCACATCACTGTTATCATCCTGGATTAAAAAGGGGGACCTTTAATGCAGGGGTAAAGCAACAGTTAGAACTGTACATGGAACAACAGACTGGTTCCAAATAGGGAAAGGAGTACATCAAGGCTGTATATTGTCACCCTGCTTATTTACTTATATGCAGAGTACATCATTCCATGGTAGAAAATCTTTGCAGCATATTTACATAGGTGCCATGGATATATGGTCCCTGGCTTAGGAACTTATGATGCTATTCCAGTGGTATACCACTGCCCTTCAAGCGTCCTCTCTGTAACAAAAGGAGCACCAGTGTGCTTCCACCTCCATTTCCACAGGCTTGGCTCCCAAACTCAAATCTCGTCTATCATCACTGTGCATGCTTAGTCGCTCAGCCATGTCCGACTCTTTGCGACCCCATGCACTATAGCCCACCAGGCTCCTCTATCCACGCGATTTTTCAGGTGAGAACACTCGAGTGGGTTGCCATTTCCTTTCCCAGGGGATCTTCCCAATCCAGGGATCAAACCTGTATCTCCTGCGCTGCAGGCAGATTCTCTACCCACTGAGCCTGAGGGAAGCCCTTACTCCGTGGGTATAGAACAGAGAAACAAACTAAGCTTGTATCCAGCACTAGGCTCATGTGATCTTCCCAACCCAGGGATCGAACCCAGGTCTCCCGCATTGCAGGAGGATTCTTTACCAGCTGAGCCACCAGGGAAGCCCAAGAATACTGGAGTGGGCAGCCTGTCCCTTCTCCAGCAGATCTTCCTGACCCAGGAATTGAACCGGGGCCTCCTGCATTGCAGGCGAATTCTTTACCACCTGAGCTATGAGGGAAGCCATGTCGCATAAATATTGACACACTTCATAAATTAAAACAGACTACTATGTCAAGTAGTGTAACTTACATAAATATAAACCTACATTGAAGTGAATCTAACATCTTCATTTACATTCATCATAAAACTTTATGCAACATAAATTGCAGTGTAAACAAGTAATTGTCTCATTTTACAATGATTTAAATTGTATAAACTAAAATTTGAAGCTTTACCCAAGAATTTAGCAGCCAGAACATTTGCCCAGTACACTCCAAAGAAGTTGCATGACCCTCCCTGCTAGGGCACCTTTGGACACTGCATGGCAGGCAGGACCAATTTATTCAGGCAATGTGTCCTTCAACTGGAAGTAGGTCGATTTGGTAAAGACACAACAACCCTAGGCTGGTCTAGTCTCATGAAATAGTCAACTTATAACTAACATCATGAATTATCTTACAACCCTTACATCTTGTACCACTTCATGAGAATTCTATATTTTTGTCACTCTATAATGTGAAGAATTGATGCTTTTGAACTGTGGTGTTGGAGAAGACTCTTGAGAGTCTCCTGGACTTCAAGGAGATTAAGCCAGTCCATCCTAAAGGAAATCAGTCCTGAATAGCCATTGGAAAGACTGATGGTGAAGCTGAAACTCCAATACTGTTGCCACCTGATGTGAAGAACTGACTCACTGGAAAAGACCCTGATGCTGGGAAAGATCAAAGGTGGGAGGAAAAGGGGATGACAGGATGAGACAGTTAGATGGCAACAGCGACTCAATGGACATGAGATTGAGCAAGCTCTGGGAGTTGGTGATGGACAGGGAAACCTGGTGTGACGCAGTCCATGGGGTCGCAAAGAGTCGGACACGACTGAGTGACTGAACTGAACTGAATTTACTCAGGGAAAGAAGCAAGGAGTGCACATGGAGCTTGATGATGAGAAAACATCCTTTTGTCTCCTTCCTCCTACATTTTTAGCTCCAGTCTTTTATACAATTTAGGGAGAGAGACTACATCAGTAAAAAAGCAGAACTGCTAATAGGCACTAGAAGATTACTACTAACATTGAATAGAAAAACAGGGACTTCACTGAAAAACACTTCTAAATTATTTTCAAAGTTCTAAATCTCTCATTTATTGACTTAAAAATATATCTAATTAGGAGCCTAGAAAGGAGAAGAATGTCTTTGATCTCTATCCAACATTTCTCCAAAATACTCCACATTATAATATAGAATTTGCATAAATTTACTAACTTTCCCTCAGATAAAAAGATGGCTTAAATAACTATTAAACACCTCAAACAATTTCTATGTAAATGGTAGGTTTTTATCATAATTGAGGAATTTATAAAAAGTGAGGAAGCCAAAAATAATTTAAGTGAATCCAAATTTAACTTAATTAAAGCTATGTGAAGAGATAAATAAACAGCGGCTGCAGATTCATTATTAAAAGGGAAAAGTTGGCAATTTTAAATGCATGCAATTATACTGATATGCTAATTTAAATTTTATGTAAAATATTAATTTTAATGAGTATGGAATAAGTATTAATTCTCAAAATAATACCTGTATGCATATAACAACATTTAAAATTTTTATTAATTTTAAAAGAAACACTAATTGATAAAAAGCATAGTTTCTTCTGCTCAACTATTAAAAGTTTTAATTCCAACAAACCATATAATTATGACAAGTTAAAATTCCATCTCTTCATAATCTTCTTTGGTAACAGATCCAGAAATAGGTTAAACCTAAATAAAAGAGGACAAAATTGAATTCTTGTTAATATAAAATGTCACAATTAGTAGTTACTGAAAAATTGTAACATTTCTAATACAGCAAAGCAACAGTTTGCCACTCCCTGCACTTATTGTTTTGATAGCTTTTACTTTCTCTGTGTGGGCTCATTTGCTCAGTCATGTCCAACTCTCTGAGACCCTATGGATTGTAGTCTTCCAGGCTCCTTTCTGTCCATGAGGCTACCCCAGCAGGAATACTGGAGTGGGTATTCTCAACAAGGGATCTTCCCAACCCAGGGATCAAATCCAGGTCTCCTGCATTGCAGGCAGATTCTTTACCATCTGAGCCACCAGGGAAGCTCCCTTTTCTAGTTGACCATAAAAAGCTTCTGAGGGACTCAATGTGTAACTCATATTTTCTTCTCCTCCCCAGTTCCTGTCAATACCCTTGGTGACTTCAATAGTCCTAATTACAAGAACTGTGCCACAAAACACTATGCTACAGGCCTTTATCACCAGGCCACTCCAGCCACTCACAAGCAAAGTCGTTGCAAGGATGGTCACTGTCAACACTTGGAATTTTTGCTTTACTTCTAAGTGTTGGAACTCTTAAACAAATGTTTACAGCTTTTCATACTCCTACACTGTCACTGAACAAGGTCAATGCCCTCCTTTGAACTCAGTCCCTTTGAGATCAGTCCCTTGATCTCCTGCAAGCTTCATTTGTATCCCCTCTGTCAATCATTTCTCTCATTACTCCTAATTATGCCCCTAGGATCCCTCTTCAAGAGCCTGAGACTTCCTCTTCATCCGAGGCATTGCCCAGCATTGTTCTCAGTCCTCTCCTCTCCCTCCTTCCCCACGCTGAGGTTTCATCTGCACCTACTTCTAGAACTGCATATGGCCTTTTTGCAGTATTGGTATCACACAGGCTCCAACACTTCCAATTGCTTACAGTTTTCACCTGAGTCCCTACTGTTTGAAAATCCTACACACCAAAATAAAACTAAACAGGTTCGTAAAATCAATTCTTTCTTTTGACTTCCTTATTTCTTACCTACTCATTCTCAAACCTTAGTATCATCTACATATTTCCCTACATCTAGTCACTTGTCTCCTCTCCACTTTTCTAGTGCATTTCACTTTTCCCTTGGACTGCTATTAAAATCCCTAGATTTTCTTTTTCACCTTGTCTTGCCTCCATTCCACTTTTTCACAAAATGACATCAGATTCTTTTCAAAATGCACACCTGATCAACCCACTGCTTTGAAACATCCTATACTGACAATGTACAAGATATTTGCATAATTTCTTATCTTTCCATAAAATACTTACTAATTATAGAAGGAAAAAGAGTAACTATGTATAGTAGAGAACTGTACATCTTAACAAATAAATCAAAGTTAACATCCTCAACAAGAGATAAATGAAGACCACATGACTCCTGATGTGAAGTTCTGAGAAGAAAGTAACATTACTTATATAATGTACCAACCAAAAATGCAAAATATGAATCAAATCAGGAGAATGTATCAGCAAGCCCAGATGGATAGACTGAAAAATAATTGGCCTCAGTTCAGTTCAGTTCAGTCACTCAGTCATGTCCGACATTTTGCCACCCCATGAATCGCAGCACGCCAGGCCTCCCTGTCCATCACAAACTCCCAGAGTTCACCCAAACCCATGTCCATTGAGTTGGTGATGCCATCCATCTCATCCTCTGTCGTCCCCTTCTCCTTCTGCCCTCAATCTTTCTNTGCTTCATTTTGTTTCACAAATGCTATGTAAGATTACATATAACATAGGACGTTGAAATTATTGTGTTTGTCTTTCTGAAGAAAAAAATCTGTGCTGCAGCAGATTGTTGTAAGGAGGTCTTTTTTCTCACCTATTGTATTTATTATCCTTGTAATGTGCCTAGCCCTCATTTTCCTAGGCTGAGAACACAGTTGGGGGACACTGGATGTGTAGGATATATTCTGTGAACACCTTTAGATCTATTTTCCCTGGTTCCACTCCCCTTTCTGCTTTGGAGGTTGACCTATGGACTTAACAAAGTGCTCCCTTGATTTCTCACTTCCAGTTGGGTTTAGTCAATAAAGTGGTCCAGAATAAGAATGACATAGGACTATGTTACTGAATCCAAGCTCATATTGCTCACCACAAGACAGACCAATAAATTGAGAGACCAGTCGTTAGGGCAAGGAATAGTGACTTTATTCAGAAAGTCAGCAGACTGAGAAGATGGTAAAATCATGTCCCAAAGGACCATCTTAACTGAGGTTTCTTTTATACTAAAAGGAGAGGGGCGTGGCTCATTGTTACTAAAGTCTTCATGCAGAATCCTTTGTTCTTGTAGCTGTCTGTGTAGATCAGGTCAGGTCAGGATGTCCCTGTAAATCTGGAATCAGACAAATATTATTCTCTGATCTGCAACATTTTATCACTACATGAATGAAAAGTGTTGTACCTTTAAAGGCCAGAGCTTTGTGAATAGAAATTCTGTATATTTTAGGGTATAAGCAACATTCTTAACTTGTAGCATAAGCAATAGAGTACAAACGTTAAAGCAAAATAAATAGATATAATATGCAATCAGATTTGCTCTCGCCTATTACAAAATCCCATGGACAGAGGAGTCTAGTGGGCTATAGTCCATGGGGTTGCAAAGAGTTGGACACAACTGAGTGACTAATACATTACATTAAAGAGACATTACAATTAATATGATACATGACCCTTGATCAGATCTTCTGTAAGAAAATCCCATTAAGGACATTAATGGCACAAGAAAAAATTGGAATACAGACTACAGATTTTATAAAAATTTTATATCCATGTTAAATGTTCTGAATTTGATAATTATAGTGTGGTTGTAAAAATAAAGATATCCTGGCTCTTAGGATATACACACTAAAGTATTAAGGGGCAAGGCTTTACACACATACACAGAGAAAGAGGAATGGGGAGTAGGATAATGACAAAGCACATGTGGCAAGATGTAAAAATTGGTGAACTCAAGCAAAGTGTATTCTGAAGGTCTGTGTATTCTTCTTGCAATCTGTATATACATTTGAAATCATTTAGAATAAATCATTTAGAATTCATTAAGAAACCATTCCCTGTTTCTTCATTGCCTACTGAATTAAGTACAAATCCTTGGCCAAGTATCCAGGTGAGTCAACTTGAAACAAAGTTTCAGTATACTGTATACCCTTCTTTACTATGACTACTTTAAATAAGTTTAATAAAACTGTACATTCCTAAACACTTTCTTGGACTCCATGAATTTGCTGATGTCCATATACTCCCTTCCCCCACATTCTCACTTAAAAAAGTCTAATTTCTCTTCACCAAAGCCCATCTTACTTACCTTCTCTACTACTTCCCAAACCCTACCAAACTGGGTGTAACCTATCCCTAAGAATTGAAAGAGTCCAGATGACAAGTAAACCAGGGCACAAATGGAAAAAAAAAAAAAAAAACTAAGGGGGATGACATGATCAGTTTAAGCCATATGCCATTTAAAAGTAAATGCAGAACAGCCTAAAGAAATTCAGAGGGACTTGACCAGAGGTCAGAAGTGAAATAGATATTTAAGGGTCATACACCCAGAAAGAGTAACTGAGCTACAAAACAGGTGAATTATCTCAGAATAAGTATGTGAAGAAAGAATGTGCATGCTAAGTCGCTTCAGTCATGTTCGGCTCTGTGTAACCCCAGATGGATAGACCGAAAAATAATTGGCCTGCAATCTTCAAAATTGTCAATATCATAAAAGACAAAGAAAGACTGAAGTGTCGTTACAGGTTAAAGAATACTAATCTGCCTGCAGTACGGGAGACCTGGGTTTGATTCCTGGGACTGTAGACCACCAGGCTCCTCTGTCCAGGGGATTCTCCAGGCAAGAATGCTGGAGTGGGTTTCTATGCCCTTCTCCAAGAGAGCTTGCTGACCCAGGGATCAAACCTGCTCTCATGTCTCCCGCGCTGGCAGACAGGTTCTTTACCGCTGCCTACTGCCACCGGAGAAGCACATGAAGAGAGAATGGGACCAATGACTCCAATAGCAGCGTTTGTTATTAGATGGAAGCAAGAAGGACAAGTAAAAGACAGACAGAAAATACAGTGAGAAAGGTAGAAAGAGAACCATGACACAGTCTTTAATGTTATAAGTAAAAAAAAAATTTTTGAAGGAATAGTAGTAAAATAATATTAAATGTGACAGTATGTTCAAAAAGAAAACAGAACTAAGCAGATACATGAACAAAAATAAAAAAACAAAAAAAGTTGGATCATGGAGAAAGTAGTTTCAATAGCACTGTGAATATGAGGCCTGAATGAAGCTTATTAAATTTCAATAAACATTTAATAAATGCCTTCTAGGTGTCAAACACTGGGTTTAAAAAAGCAAACAGGCTGAAATTAGGCAATGGGTATACACTAAAGGTTGGAGATGGTAGAATGTAAAGGTGAAGGGGAAAGTCTATACCTTTTAATTTTTATTTAAGTGTGTTCTTACCAGAAGATGACAAGAAGATTCATTTTGTATCTTTTGAATCTAGGAACAAGATAAAGTATAAGGAAAATTCAAGTTGGTCTCTGGCACTGGTTTTTCCATTAATAAAAATATATTAAGGAACAAGAATTATAATACATTTAAAAATATAATTATTAGCTTCTATAATCCTATTTAAAATTGTAATAAAATAATGAATTACAAAGATACTTTTCATTTATAACATGCAGCTTCTGGAAAATACAGCATATCAATTTAAGTTGCTAAATAATCCTTACAAGACCATTAGATCATTTGATGTTTAATAGAGGGCCTATTGTTGCTTAGTCCCTCAGTCATGTCTGACTCCTTTGTGACCCCATGGACTGTAGCCCACTGATCATGGGATTATCCAGACAAGAAATACTGGAGTGGGTCGCCATTTCCTTCTCCAGGAGATCTTCCCAACCCAGGGATCAAACCCACATCTCCTGCTCGGCAGGCAGGTTCTTTGCCACTGAACCACCTGGGCTCAGAAGGCCTCCTGCTGAGGCACAGAAGAATTTAACGAGTTCAAGGGTATGGCCAGAGCAAACTTAGATGCAATCTAGTGTGTTTATTAGAGTAACTGGATCTGGATTAACAGAACAGTGTCGATATTTTTGCACATTTTTCTGCCTATACAAGCATCCTTGTCACCTAAGAAACCACTGACAGCTTTTTCCTCCTAATTCCCTCTCTTGCCTCATTCTCTTTCTTAACTAGATAAGAAAAGCAAAGCAGAGTATCACTAATGTGAACATTAGTATAAATACCATTATTGCAAACAATTTATGCTATTATGAATGCAATATTATAAGAATAGTAATGAGTTTCCAGTGTTATATTGCTTACAACATTGTTTTAATTATCTTATGAAAATATTTCTCACAAAATCAAACTCTGCAGATTTATAGACTGTCAAAATAAAAGTTGTCACTGAGTAACTATACTAAAAACCTACAGAAACATTCAGCATGGTAATATATATGTATTAGGACATGCATGTGAAGGAAAGAAAATCACTTATGATTAAGCAATTCATGTGGCACTATTTGTTACATAAATTTTATCCAGCTTAATTGTTTGAGAATCCAGAACTTCCAATTACTTTAATAAACATACTAAATAACATCTAATTTTGCTCTGACCACAACATCAACTGATGCAGTTTTAAACATGGTTTAATTTATGAACTGTTTTCCAGGAATGAAATAATGACATCAAGGCTATAGCTCAAGGGCAGATTTTGCTAAATGCATTAAACTGGACTGCAGCATCATGAAAAGGAAGTGACTGTATGAAATAACACAGAATATACACTATAATATAGTTAAAATGTTTTTCTTCATCTATATGGATGAGTTTTGTGACCCGGCTTTCCCGGAGGCTCAGACAGTAAAGAATACATCTGCAATGCAGAAGACCTGGGTTTGATCTCTGGGTTGGGAAGATCCCCTGGAGAAGGGAAGATCCCCTGGAGGAGGAAATGGATACCCACTCCAGTATTCTGACCTGGAGAATTCCATGGACAGAGGAGCCTGGCAGGCTACAGTTCATGGGGTATCAAAGAGTCTGACAAGACTGAACAATTTTCACTCACTCATTCAAATTCAGATTTAACAAAAATATTTCAGATTTAAAAGACAAGCATGTTTCCTTGGCTCAGGAAGTTCCAGTCACCATTCACTTTCTGCACTCCACACATACCTATACCTGTGGTCTACTCTACATTTAGAGCTTTACAATGCTTTCTACTTTTAATTATAATGAACAGTGATAAAATGGTAGCCTTGATTCTACAGTTCTGTGCATTGAATATGACAATGAGGGAAACTACTGGTCTAATGTGATCCAAGGGAAATAAAGTATTAGAGAAGCCAGCTCTCTTTAATACAATGAAAATTGTGTATTCTGACCTGGAGAATTCCATGGACAGAGGAGCCTGGCAGGCTACAGTTCATGGGGTATCAAAGAGTCAGACAAGACTGAACAACTTTCACTCACTCATTCAAATTCAGATTTAACAAAAATATTTCAGATTTAAAAGACAAGCGTATGTTTCCTTGGCTCAGGAAGTTCCAGTCACCATTCACTTTCTGCACTCCTCCACACATACCTACACCTGTGGTCTACTCTACATTTAGAGCTTTACAGTGCTTTCTACTTTTAATTATAATGAACAGTGATAAAATGGTAGCCTTGATTCTACAGTTCTGTGCACTGAATATGACAATGAGGGAAACTACTGGTCTAATGTGATCCAAGGGAAATAAAGTATTAGAGAAGCCAGCTCTCTTTAATACAATGAAAATTGTGTTTACTTACTTTTACTAGACAACTGTTGGCATTTCAGCCTAAGTCTGTATTTCTCATTTTCTTTAAGCATTTTTGAAATGACTTTGTACACTCCATTCCATACTAAAACCTTCAAAAGATAAGCACAGTTAAGGAACACTGAGCAGAGAATGCAGACTACAGTGTGATGCAGACAGCTAGGAGTAAGTCAACTGTGATGACTCAAAGCCATTCAGGCGTGTCCGACGCTTCGCCACCCCATGGACTACACAGTCCATGGAGTTCTCCAGGCCAGAATACTGGAGTGGGTAGCCTTTCCCTTCTCCAGGTGATCTTCCCAACCCAGGGATCGAACCCAGGCCTCCCGCATTGCAGGTGGATTCTTTACCAGCTGAGCCACAAGGGAAGCCCCAAGGCAACCATGATATTTGATATCTGATTTGATATTATCATTACAAAGCACTCAGAGACCTAAAAATTAAACAAAATTTCTTTTCCATATTCACTGAATTCTCTGATATCCTTTTCTAACTTCTTAGTATTTCCTCTCTGTAGTATTTAAACTAACTTGTCCTGGGGACTTCCCTGGTGGTCTAGTGGTTAAGACTCCATAGGAGGCAGTTTGTTCCCTGGTTGGGGAACTAAGATCCTACATGCTGCATGGCATAGCCAAAAAGTTAAAAATAAATAATTGGGGAAATGTATAATAAATAAATAAACTTTCCTGGATGATGTCAAGGTCTTTCAAAGGCAATGTCTAGTAAGTTCTATGGTTCCATCATACTCAATTTTGTTTTGAAAGGTAGTAAAAATAATAAATTTCTATTCCTATGTCTAAACCACTGAGCCATGATATGATCTTTAGTGTATTTTATTCTAGTTAATAATTAAACATTTCTCCTAGGACATACCAAAGCAAACTTACTAGAGAGCATGAATATACTAGAATAGGAGGAACGGAGACCACAGAAGCAAACATAGAAATCTAGGCTCAAATTCTAGCTTAACCACTTAACCCATTGCTTAATATCAGGCAAGTGTTTTAATCTCACCTAGGAGTAACTTCATACACTGGATTATTAGAAATCATGAGAAATACACATAAAGCATTTACACCTAGTGTCTGGCCCACAGCAGTTACAGTTATAGGCAAACACTGGCTACTGTGCAAGAGGAATTGGTTCTTAGAAGAAAAACTTTTCAGTATAGTGGGAAGATTAAATGCTCACTCAAAATACACTTGCTGAAAGAGTTAGTCACTTTGAATGCTATTCTATACCATATACGAATTAGAAATCAAACAAACTTAAAATTCAGAAATAATATAATTTATGTGTCATTATCAACTAATGATTTCTTTAAAACTGAAGTGTAAAACATATAGTGGTAAACAAAGATTAGTACAATAACTGATCTTGAATATGTTTAAAACACAGAAGTTACCATGACATGTGGACAACTAGACAAGAAAATGGTTCAGCATAAAGGTCCATGCTTGCCAGATTTCCTGCTAGAAACAGCGTATATCCCTTGTCCTTAAAAGAGCACTGTGACAACAATATAGACACCTTTTACTTTTCTGTGAAATCCATGATTTTCTTATGTTACACTGAGTTTGTTATATTCTATGGAATATGTACTTTCATGCTTTGAAAAAGCTTGTAGTTATACTTTGATTAAAATGTATTTTATAACTTCAAAAACAGGAAGGGATATTCTTCATGGTTAATAAATATTTTCAAACCCACTTTCATTTCTGACAATTCTAGTTTTCTCATTTCGGTAAACTAAATTTTTCAAAAGATGAAACTATTTTTAATGTCTTGAGTTTCTTCACACATTTGTATTTAAACAGGTTAATCTAAAATTCAAAATATCACTCATTCCCCTGTGCAAAAATATACCTTTTTGTTCTTCTTCATTATTTTGGAAGTTTCACTCAAAGGTATGGGGAAGTCAAACTTTTTAGCTAAATTCTTCTGGGTTAAACCTAATTTTAAAAAAACAGAGAAAGAGAGAAACAAGGTAAAATATCAAGTCAGCACATACTTTAAAGAATTCACTATCCTGATAATTAACTACTATAAATGTCTCAAGCTTTCTTTGGGGATTTTTACACTTGTTGATATATTTCAGATGACTAGATAATAGTTTACCAATTAACTAATACTATACTGGAAAAAATAAAACAAGAAAACTAAGGGTAAACTATCTAATGGCGCCTAGATCTCCTTCCTTTTCTAATTTGAAAGGTGAGTCCCAGAAAAGTTTGCGAGAGTAAACAAATACCAGAAAACCACATTTTTCCCCAGGCAAGTGCGTGCGCACTCTCTGTCTCTCTCTCTCTCTCTCACACACACACACACACACCCCTGTGAGGCAAATATCTACCTGCTCTTCAAGACTCAGCTCATATGTCACCACCATTCTACAGCCTCTCCCCTCAAACACCCACAGCCCTTGCTTCCAGAGACACTTTGCTCAAGGTACTTAGCCCAATTTTATAGCCTATGTTTATACTGTTTCCTTCACCATGAGGTGACCTTCTGGTGGGGCAGTGTCCCTGTGGGTATTATTCATCTATCTATGCTACCAGACACACAGTAGGTTCTAATGAAGGTTTGTCAGAGTGATAAGCTTCCTGACTCTACACAATAAACCATACTGCCTTCCCAAATATTAACTGTGAGAAGAAAGCCTAAGGGTTTGCGTATCCAAAGACAAAATTGAAGCACAATGAGCATGTGTTCCCGGAAGTGTTTATGTTTGTTCTTTTGCCTGCAACACCCTGTATGTAGCCCAACACTTCCCCACCTTATTCCTGCCATGCCACCAGTCTCTACTTGGGCTTCTTCGACTCATCCAGTATTTAGCTTTCCAGGGGCAGAGGGCCTTCTCTTGATTTCACAAAGCACCCTATGCTCAGTTACCACAGGATTTAGCATGCTGTTTCCCTGAGAAATGTGTTCTATTCATTAGAAGTCCAGTAGTATAGAAGTTAGATACACAATAAATATTCTATTTGTTGAGTGAAACAGAGTACGTCCTAAACTGGCTTGTCCCCGTTTGTGAGGAACAGACCCCTGATCCTGAGTGGGGCATAGATAGAGCACTAGCGAACATGAACTCACATCAAGAGAAACTCTCTCTTTTGAATTCTTTTTCAATCTTCTGATTATATCAAGGAGAAAGTCTGAGTTTGGAACTAGTATGTCATTTAAACTTTTCTAAGACTTGCTTATCTCTCTTTATGACTGCAGCAACTTCCAGAAGACAACCTATTTGCCTAGAATTTAATAATATTGTTTTCCCTGTATTAGATTGTTTTTAGTTAATTTCTATTTATGGAAAATGATACATGCTTTCCACTGAGGTAATGATGTAAATATGTTCTAAAAAGAAATTCAGTTGGGAGGGAAAAATGCACCTATTTAAATAAATATATTAAGTAAATGACAGTACAGATGTACAGATATAACACAGGAAAAAAACTTAAGTTTGGGAAACCCTGCTCTTCATATACCCACGTGTATCCTTCCCTCTAAGTGCCTACAACCTTTGCAATACTGTACTTGTCTCATTTCCAAACATTTTCTGTTTGTAAGTCTTACCTAACCTAGATGTATATACTCCTTGAGGTCAAGATAGGCACCCTCATATCTATCTGTATTAGTTAGGAATATAAAATACGTCAAGGAGCATAGAGAAGAGAAAAGGAAAAAAAGGCAAAATCATTTCTTCTACTTATTTTGGGCACTTTACTGAGACTATGGCTCCACTGTATACCTAGATTTTATTCCAACTTATGCTTCAAATCTGTCTCTACTCTTTGCAAACACTCTGATCCAGTCTAAATATATTTTCCTCCTTCCCTAATCATTATCCATCACTGATCCTTACTCGGAGCTTTGCTTACATGTTTTCCCACCTATAATCCCCTACTATCTCAGGAACATGGGTAAATCTCACAGAGCCACATCCACCACCAAAAAGCTTTCCTCAATTCCTTCATCCCCCAATTATTCACCACCTCCACAGCATTTATTTGTACCTCCACAATAGCATTCATCATCCTCTACTATGTATAAGTGAAAGTCAGTTGAAGACTCTTTGAGACTCCATGGACTCTGTCCATGGAATTCTCTAGGCCAGGATACGGGAATGGGTAGCCTTTCCCTTCTCTAGGGGATCTTCCCAACCCAGGGATCGAACCCAGGTCTCCCACATTGCAGTCAGATTCTTTGCCAGCTGAGCTACCAGGGAAGCTCTACTATATATAAATTATGGCCATATCTCCCAAGTTCTGGAGAACATAGAACCAGCTTGACTTATGAGTCTTGCCTGAAGCATTAAGAAGAGTTACTGACTTGCCAGCCCCTTGATTTCTAAGGGGCTTCCCAAGTGGCACAGTGGTAAAAAATCCATCTGCCACTGCAGGAGACAGAGGAGACACAGGTTTAATTCCTGGGTCATGAAGATCCCCTGGAGGAGGAAATGGCAACCCACTCCAGTACTCTTGCCTGGAAAATTCCATGAACAGAGGAGCCTGGCAGGCTACAGTCCACAGGGTCACAAAGAGCTGGACACGACTGAGCACACATGCACGGACTTCTAAACTATAATACATCTCACATACAGCTTATAATGGAGAAGGAAATGGCAACCCACTCCAATATTCTTGCCTGGAGAATCTCAGGGACAGAGGAGCCTGGTGGGCTGCTGTCTATGGGGTTGCACAGAGTCGGACATGACTGAAGCGACTTAGCAGCAGCAACAGCTTATAAGCTTATCTTCCAGAAGTATATGGTGTGTGTGAGTCGCTCAGTCATGTCCAACTCTTTGAGACCTGATGGACTGCATCCCACCAGGCTCCTCTGGCCAAGGAATTCTCCAGGCAAGAATACCAGAGAAGATAGACGTTCCCATCTCTAGGGGCTCTTCCTGACCCAGGAATCGAACTCAGGTCTCCCCCATTGCATGCAAATTCTTTACCATCTGAGCCACAGGAAAGCCTATGTGTTTCTGATAATGTCACTCCACCATTCAAAAATCTGCATTAATCATAAAATGAGTCTCCAAGGCATTCTACAATGTGATATAAAGCTTATTTCTCACTCTTTCAACAAATATTTAGTGTACAGACATTAGGATGATCAACGTCTCTTTCCTCAAGCTACTTCCACTGAGTGTGCCAACATTTACTGGCATGTTACTCTCTATGTCAAACCCTGTGCTATGGACTTTGCATGCATTACTTCCTCTTATCTTCACAGTTACTCATTAAGGTAGAAACTATTATCCTGATTTTATAGAAAAGGAAACTGAACATCAGAATAGTTAACTAACTTAGCCAGTATTACACTGCTAGTAAATGAGAGAACCAAGATTATGGCTTTATGACTGCAAAGTCAATGCTCTTGAAAATACCTACCATCCCACTAGCAATTTCTCCATTCATATATCTTGATTTATTGTTTATATGTCTCTATTTTCCTGAACTATCAAAGACCTTCCAAGTTGTCTCTCTCACAGCACTGATGCCTGCTAGCTTGCATTTCCATTATTCACGAAAAGTCCCTTGAGAGTAAAACATTTGCCTGAGTCATCTATGCCACTAGCACCTGACCTAGTGTCTACAATATGGCAGATGTTAAATAAATGTTACTGAATAAATCATTTACCTTTGTTCCTTACAGAGAGCCAGGCCTAAGTATTCAATGAATGCCCACTTAATGTTAATATTAAATACACCCAAGAATGAGTAAGACTTAAAACACTTAAGCACTCTGGCTTGACTGAAACACAAGTCTACCTCAGGACCTCTTTCCCTTGACACTATTCTTGGTTTCAAATGCACAGCAGAGTGGTCACCAAAGTTAATGGGTTGATCATCCAAGCAGCTGCCCAGCACGGAAACTTCAGACTTGGCCTTTTCCCTCTTGCAGTCAGTCGTCAATCCTGTTCACGCCACCTCCACCGCTACTGTCTTAGTTCAGGCCTTTTATACTTCCACTTTATCACTGCCTCAAAACTGGTCTCTGGCTTCCATTCTCTCCCACTCTCACTCACTCATAGTTATCTTTCCCCCAGCTCTGATCATGTCACTCCTGCCACAAAGGAAGAGCAAAAAACTTCAAAATTTCAGAACCAAACTTCAAAACAAAATCGAATCATTGTCATCTCCTACCCCAGCAGGGCAGCCAACTAGAGGAAAGCCATTCTAGCTCAGCACAGAACAGTTACAAGAGCAGAGAGTTGGTTTCACAATCTCAGCTCTTTGCCATCCTGTCGTTTCTACCTAACTTATGTGGGATCTCCAGTACTAATTTATGCATCCTTTCCCTTCTCCCATGAGCTTCTTCATCTGTTTTTCAATATTCTTCATTTCCAATCCACTATCTTAATGCTGGCCTATTATTTCTCTCTTTGATCTGCTGGTGCTAATGCAATACTGGATCCATTTTATTCTTTCCTCTCTTCCTGCTCTCTCCTTTTTAAAGTTGAAGAGCTCACCACCACCACCATACTCCTAATTTCTAGAATGAGCCTTTTATCTGTTTCTATTATTCAAAGAAACTGGAAACCTAATGCTAAAATGTCTTACACTAGTCCTAATTTTTTAGATCACCAGTATAGGGGCCAAAAAATAAAACTCCAAAACAAAAAACCTGAGCACCTTTTAACAGTGGGACCTTTGGAGGGATATGAAGTCTAAAATAGTGCCCCTGATGAAGAATCTCTGAAGGTTTCCCATCATAGCTGATTCTCAGGAATCAGCTGATTCTCAGGAAGTTACACACAGTACAGTTTTATACTTCTCAGTTATCAAAATTAATTTAAATCAATTAAATTAGCAAAGTAAAATTAAGTCCTGAAAAGATAGCAAACAAAATATTCGTGTATTTTTCAACTTGGGCTTTAGTCTTGCCTGCCTGCAACTCAATCTCCTCTACACAGCATGAAATAAGTCAACCTGTTCCTACTATTTCTCGTGTTCAAAACCTTTCAATGCAGAACTTCTGGGTAGCTACAGTCAATAGCGGGGGGAAGGGAGAGAGACAGGGTATAGTAATAAATATGTCAAAATTTCTCCCCAAAAAACTTGACAAGAATTCTTCACAAAACCATACCCCCAGCATTACTTGAAGAGAGAGAACGCTGAAAATGCAAAATTAATGTAAGTAAAGTGAGAAAAAGCATTAAATCACAGCACTATGATCCTATTTGTTTAAAGCTCACCCTAAGCAAGGCTTTGTGGCCATCAGGAAAGACAAAGGAGAGACACTAGAAAAGGTGCCTGCAAGAGAGCTGGAGCAAACAGCAGAAAGATGAAATCCACCCTAAATCTCAAAATACTATTACAGAAGATAACCAGGCAGATCACAACACAGACTACAGGAAAGAATTTCAATGTGTGATTTAAAAGGCCAGACACCACATAAAGGACCAAAAGCCTGCAATTTAATGGAACTGATTTGGTTAAAGCGGCAAGCATGATTTAAAGGAAGAAACACCAAAGGACAGTCCTCTCTCTTGCCTTTTGGAGGAGAAAAAGAACCAAAAGCAGAGTTCATGAATTGGGTCACAAAATAAACATCAATAACATTCATAAAGTGGAGACATTACAAACAACATTCTGATCACAATGCAATAAAACTAGAGCTTACTAGGAGAAAAGAAAGAAAGAAAAAAGTCCTGGAAATTTTTTAAAAAATTAAATCTATTAAGCAACTCTAGAGTGAAAGTGGTAATACAAACTGAAATTACAAAAATGAAAAATTTTTAAGTGACAATAAAAACATTATATATTAGAATCTATGAGATTTAAAGTAGTAATTAATTCCTTTCAAATAGGAAGTCTGTCCCTAAGTCGTGTCCGACTCTTGCAACCCCATAGACTGAAGCCTGCCAGGCTCCTCTGTCCATGGAATTCTCCAGGCAAGAATACTGTAGTGGGTTGCCATTTCCTTCTTCAAGGGATCTTCCCAACCCAGGAATTGAACCTGGGTCTCCTGCATTGCACGCAGATTCTTTATCAACTGAACTAGGAGGGAAGCCCATTTATTAGAATCTATGGAATTTAAAGTAGTAGTCAGAAAGAAAACTCAGGCGCTAAATACTTTTATTGACAAAAAGGAAGGAAAAATTAAATTTTTTGCTCAAAACAAAAGCATAAGGACAAAGTAAACCAAAAGAAAATACACATAAGGAAATAATGAAGCTTTATCTTTATTATTTATCTTTATTATTGAGAAAGAAATTAGAAAAATAAAATACCTAATTAACAAATCAAAATCCTCTGTTTTAAAAAATTAACAAAATAAACAAAACACTGGTGAACTTGATCAAGAAAAAGAAAGCATATACATCAAAAAATGAAAAGGGTGAACTAACCATTGATACACAAAGAATTTTTAAAAATCAAAAGATGCTACTGAGCAGACCTCTATGCAAATAAATAAAACAATGAAATCAATAATTTCCTGGAAAAATACAGATTAACAAAACTGGCCCAATCCAATTTGAAAATGTACAGAGACCAATTTCCATAGAAGATACAGAGACAATTATTAAGGAATTATCCCATAAAAACTAGACCCAGGTGTTTTCACAAAAGAATTCTACCAAATCTTCAAATACCAAATAATCTCAGTGCTCTATAAACCATTCCAGAGCATTGAAAAGAAAGGGAAAGTTCCTAATTCCTTTTATGAACTAAGTTTAACTATGATACCTAAACCAGATGAAATAAAGAAAGAAAAACTGTCTCAAATTCCAAACCAAAAATCCTAAACAAACTGTTAGCAAACGGACTCCAACATCATATTAAGAAAAAAAAATTATAACCAAGAGGGATTTATTTTAGGAAGACAAAGTTGGTTCAATCTTAGGAAATCTATTATCATATACCATATTAATAAATCTAAGGAAAAAACATTATCTCCAAAAATCTAAGAAAGTCTTTGACAAAATGCAACATCCATTCCTGGTAAAAACAATGAAGAAAATAAAAACTGAAAAACACATTTTAATGTTTTAAACATACAGGCCTTAGTCTTAAAGCCAATACTTTATTTAATGGGGAAAAACTAGAAGCATTTCCCGTAAAATCAGGAACAAGACAAGGATGCTCACTATCCCTACTACTTTTCAACATTCTATTCATGGTATCAGCCAGAGCAATTAAACAATAATAATTTAATAATCAACTGCGGGCATAAAAATAGGTTAAAAATAAATAGTGATATCTATTTACAAATAATATAATAGTATACCCAGAAAATCATGAGCATTAATGACAAAACTAATTCAAATAATAGAATTCAATGAAGTACTAGGATCAAAAATTAACATACAAAAATCAACAGGCTAGGAACTTCCCTGGTGGTACAGTGGATAGGAATCCAGCTGCCAATGCAGGGGACACAAGTTTGACCCCTGATCTGGGAAGGCTCCACATACTATGGAGCAACTAAAACCCTGCACCACAACTACTGAGGCCTGAGTGCCTAGAGCCTGTGCTCCACAAGAGAAGCCGCCACAATGCAATAAAGACTCATCTCCACTCTCTGCAACTAGTGAAAGCCTGTATGTAGCAACAGACTCAGTCCAATCCAAAAATTAAAAATCAATTAATATCATTATGTTACTTGAAAGAAGCAAATCACAAAAGTGCCCATACTGCATGATTCCATATATACGAAATGTCCAGAATAGGTAAATCTGTGGAGACAGTAAATAGTTGAGTGCTCGCTTAGGGCTGGGGTTAGGTGCAGTGAGAGGAAATGATGAGTGACCGCTAAAGGCTACAGGGTTTGTTTGGGTGGAGGTAATAAAAATGTTCTAAATTGATTGTGATGATGGTAGCACAACACTATAAAAAAAATCATTGAATTAAAGACTTTAAATGAGCAAACTCAGTCGACTGTGAATTATATCTCAATAAACTATTAATTTTTTTAAGTACAGCTAAAGGGATGGGCTCTCAAAAGAGAAGCAGGACTTACTGAGGTGATGTGCATGTTCTAGATTCTGACTAAGGTGGTATACTACCCAGTGTATATCACAGTGTATGTCAACTCTCCTCAAACTTTTTTTGTTTTTTATCAAGAGGTCTTATATACACAAACAATGAACATTCAGAGGACATTATGGAAGAAATCACATTCACGACCGTATATAAGATCAAATACCTAGGAATAAATTTAACAGGATATATGAAAAACCAATAGAAGAAAAAACGTTTGAATATAAAACATTCCTGAAGGACACAAAGTGAAGAGAAAGTTGCCCAGTCACGTCTGATCTTTGTAACCCCATGGACTGTAGTCCATGGAATTCTCCAGGCCAGCATACCGGAGAGGGTAGTCTTTCCCTTCTCCAGGGGATCTTCCCGACCCAAGAATCCACCCCGGGTCTCCTGCTTTGCAGACGGATTCTTTACCAACTGAGCTATGAGGGAAGTCAGGTACAGTGCGGAGAAGGCAATGGCCACCCACTCCAGTACTCTTGCCTGGAAAATCCCAGGGACGGCGGAGCCTGGTAGGCTGCGGTCCATGGGGTCGCTAAGAGTCAGACACGACCGAGCAACTTCACCTTCACTTTCCTGCACTGCACAGGGAAATGGCAACCCACTCCACTATTATTGCCTGGGGAATTCCAGGGACGGCGGAGCCTGGTGGGCTGCCGTCTATGGGGTCGCACAGAGTCAGACACGACTGAAGCGACAGCAGCAGGTGGAATGAAAATATAAAGACATCCTCTCCTCTGCTTTCAAGGAGGAAGAGACAGCATTTTAAAGATGTCGGTTCTCCTTCGGCTAATAAATTCAATGAGTCCTAAAAGGAATACGGACACTTAGGCCCAGGCCCCCCATCATCCTGAGAGACGTTAGTGGCTCCTTCCAATAGCCTCCCCTCTCGGATTCGGATCTCAGACTTATCTCAAACGACCTTCATGGCACTTCTGCGGCTTCTCGGGGCAATGCCGACGCACAGTTCGGACTCGTCTCTCCGTCCCCAGACTGACAGGAGGGCCGTCCATGGCGAGTGGCCCACTGCCCTTGGCCTAACGGCCGCAGAGCAAAACGACGAACCCGGAGCCGCCCACGGAGGGGCGGTGGGGCCGTGGTGTGGCGGCGGGGGAGAGACTGTCCCGCTCGGCTCGCTCGACGCCGCGCGGGGGAGCAGGCCGCGAGGGCCTGAACCGGAAGCAAAGGGGCAGCTCCGCAGCACCTGGACTCGCCGGCGCTGCCGCCCGCGGCTTCTCCTGGCTGTGGCCGTCCTTGAGCCTGGCGTGCCTCGGACCCTGGGCCCTGCGGCCGCCCAGCGGAAGGACGCCGCCACACTGGTGCGAGCCGAAGCGGGTCACGTAGACGAAGCGCGCCCGGTCCCGCTGCAGCTCCCGGCGTGCCGCTGCCATCTCTGCCTTCGTCTCCCCTCGCGGTCCTCAATGACCGGCTCTGTGAGTCCGGGGAACGGACCACTGGGTGTGTGAAGGAGGGGGGGCGGACCTGACGGAGCAGACCACTGTGTGCGGGTGGGGGGGGGCAGAACCGAGGGACTCGATCGGCAGTTGTGCTGGGGCTGGGGGCAGTTGGATGAAGCCCTCGATCACGGTGCACCGCACAGGAGATGAGAGGTGAGACTCGGAGGTGGCAGGTGGGTTAGGGAGGGATCAGGGTGAAGAGAGACCAGAGAGCCCGGTCCCTGGATGGGCAGCGGGAAAAGGGACGTTTGGACCACTGTGCTGGGACAGGGGCACAGGCGGGTCTTTGGTTGGGGGTTGATGGTATACCACTCATCTGAAAAGTGGTGTTAAGAGTTTGGAGACCAGATCACTTGGGAGTGGGGAGCAGACCATGTAGAGCGGGCTTCTCTGAGGAAAAAAACTGAATCAAAAACAGGGTTGGGGAAAGGAAAGATACTAAACCAGTGGTGCACCCCTCCCCGTGGTCTGAGGTTGGGCAGATTTCAGAGTGAGGAGCTAGCCCTGAACTTAACTGGTCTGGAATGTCAGCCAGATGAAGATGGGAGTCTTGGGGGAAAGGTGGAGCCGGGAGACAGTACTGTTTGATGCCAAAGAATTCTAGTGTGGCCTTGGTCTGGCATGTGTTCTGCTGGGCCATGAGCTTCAAGAGACCCTGTGCAGAGAGGTGATGGGCCTGAGGCCAACATCTTACTCAGGTAGTCCTGAAGCCCGTCAGGGTTTAGCTGCTGACCAGCTGGGTTATTTGGGCAAGCCACTGTCCCTGTCTGAGCTTCTGGTTTCCTCAGATGTAAACTCAGGATAATCTGGTAAAGATATACCAAAATGAGGCATATTAAGGACCTGGCACATAGTAAGAGGCAATTCCTTTAGATTTAATATTCAGTTCACATTTATTGGGACTTCCCTGGTAGCTCAGATGGTAAAGCGTCTGCCTACAATGCGGGAGACCCAGGTTCAATCCCTGGGTCAGGAAGATCTCCCGGAGAAGGAAATGGCAACCCACTCCAGTAGTCTTGCTTGAAAATCCCATGAACAGAGGAGCCTGGTAGGCTACAGTCCACAGGGGTCGCAAAGAGTCGGACACGACTGAGCGACTTCACTTTCTTTCTTTCTTTCATATTTATTGAGTATATACCCTCTGAAGTATCAGTTCAGTTCATTTGCTCAGTCATGTCCAACTCTTTGCGCCCCCATGGACTGCAGCACAGCAGGCCTCCCTGTCCATCACCAACTCCCAGAGCTTGCTTAAACTCATGTCCATCGAGTTACTGATGCCATCCAGCCATCTCATCCTCTGTTGTCCCCTTTTCCTCCTGCCTTCGATCTTTCCCAGCATCAGGGTCTTTTCCAGTGAGTCAGTTCTTCACATCAGGTGGCCAAAGGATTGGAGTTTCAGCTTCAGCATCTGTCCTTCTGATGAATATTTGGGACTGATTTCCTTTAGGATGGACTGGTTGGATCTCCTTGCAGTCCAAGGGACTCTCAAGAGTCTTTTCCAACACCACAGTTCAAAAGCATCTATTCTTTGGCGCTCAGCTTTCTTTATAGTCTAACTCTCACATCCATACATGACTACTAGAAAAAGCATAGTTTTGACTAGATGGACCTTTGTTGGCATAGTAATATGTCCACTTTTAATGTGCTGTCTAGGTTGGTCATAGCTTTTCTTCCAAGGAGCAAGCATCTTTTAATTTCATGGCTGCAGTCACCATCTGCAGTGATTTTGGAGCCCAAGAAAATAAAGTCTGTCACTGTTTCCATTGTTTCCCCATCTATTTGCCATGGAGTGATGAGACCAGATGCCATGATCTTAGTTTTCTGAATGTTGAGTTTTAAGCCAGCTTTTTCACTCTTCTCTTTCACTTTCATCAAGAGGCTCTT